CATAAGGGTTTGACTAATATCAACCGGTTGTCATTTATCTTTGCTCATCGAAACAACTCTGCATCCATATATATGGTTAAAGGTGCATGTGCTGTCACGTGTAGTGAGTGGTTTTAGACTCTGGCATTTTTTCTAATTTTTTGTGGTTTGCATGAGATTAATTTCAAGGATTGCCAAACTGTGGTAGAAGTTGTACCAGAAAAGTTAGCGATAGGGTATTTTGTATCAAAATTATATTTTTATTGTGGTTTAATCACTTCCATGGAAAAGATCACTCTCGCACTCTCCAAACCTCATTCGCAAGTGCGACAAAGAAAACTATGAGAGTTTCAAAGCTTTTTCCAAGGCAACTGATCATACCATTCATGCAGGGGCGGAGAAAGCACGAGATTAGTGTCATATACTATTATGTTAATATTCAGTGGTTATGTGTGCGATTCATGTTGACCAATCTTTTTACTGTATTGCATGTTTGGTGTTTTAATGGGGAACTTTTGTGTTGAGTCTTAAAGTTCAAATTCAAGATGGTAGAAGCACTTTGAACTTCTTCCAACCATTAGATTCGGACGAGTAGACTGGGTTGTTGGTTGACAACGATCCTTCATTTAGAACCCTAGCATTTGTAGCTTGGAGTTTTTATTGAGATTGTCTCAGTCGAAGCGGCGCGGAGGGGGAGGGGAATGGTGAATAAACGGTGGTGCATGGTGTTTTGGGTTTGGGTCAGGATGTGGTGGTCAAGCAGGTGCGCCTTTTGCGAAAAAGAGGAGGAGAACCTGAACCATTTGTTCATCAAGTGCAGTTTCTCAAAGGAAACATGGTGGAGGATGCGCTCATTCGTCAGGATGGAAAGCAGTATCTTAGATAATGAAGATATCTCAACAAAGATCAAGCGGTGGTATTATCAAAAGCCATCCAGCCCTTGACAGTGGTGCACTAAGATCTTCATACACGCCTTTTGTTGGACTTTATGGCTGGAAAGAAATTCCAGAATTTTCAAGGGGGAAGCTGCCCCCTCAAGTCACTGTCTTTCGTATTGGATGCCTAATCGCAAGTTGGGTGTCCGCGGCTGAGAAAGTTGACAAGCAAGTGGTCGAAGTTTGGGTGTCGACTATTAGAAGTAGGCTGATTCCCAGATCGGGAAAAACCCCCCAGTTAGGCGATTAAAGCTGCTATTGTTTCCTGGGGGTGTCGGCTGCAGAACTCTCACCTTCCATTAGTACTTTGGCTTTTGCTTTCATTTCGCTGTGTATCTTCTTTCTTTGTGTCTCCCCTCTGCTTGTTTTATCTTTGTTCCTACATGGCTTTGTCCGGTTGTAATTTTTTCCGCTAAGTATTAATCTCTATCATCCTTAACAACAAAAAATTCCTTTTTGGATGTTGATTATGATAATTAGGATTCATTCCTCTAACGATAATTTAATTTTGGTTAATTTTGCTTTATGGAGAGATCTCATCCGGCTTAGCTTGAGGTGTTTTGTTGTTGACTCTTTCTAAACTAGGCACATATACATATGCATCGAAAGAAGTCAACTTCTGAACAGGAAATTGATGTAATTAAAGGATTTAGAATTAGAGGAAGAAGCAAATATCATTATGAAATCGCTGAAGAATTTTAGAGTCTTCCTCCGGTGACAACTTGCAGTACAGAAAATTAGCAAAAGTGTCCATTCCATGTGATCATTCAATTCGTTCATTTAGAATATGATTGATTACGTTGTGTGGCATATATATTGATCCCGAAAATGAAGCACGGGCTTGCCAAGACAAAACCATCACAACTTCACATTGAGGCCGCTACAAAGCGCAGCCCAGTATTTGCTAGTATGGAAATAAAAATGAGATTGAAGTTAAGGAGATGGAGATGGAAATGGAGATGGAGAAGATGACCAAAGACCTAGGATTGGGAGATGGGAATTGTAATCGAAATAATAGAGACTGAGAGTAAGAAATGAATCAAGATGGCTTATTGGGAAGGTAAGAATCAAAGATTTGAATCCAAATTGTCGTCTTAGTTGAGAGCTTTATAATAAAAAAGAAAGTGAAGGAGCACTTTTGGTGGTCTCGGTGAGGATGGGTTATAAATGTGGGGTTGGAAATTGGGCTTTATCGGTCAGTAATCATTGGTTACTGATCAATGGTTTTTTTTTTTTTGCCATTCAACCGATCTCAAACGAGATGGAGATAAGATCCACACAACGTCAATTACAAACTACGTAACCAAGACACAAAGTCGAACCTCGACAGGACCCGAGGCGACAAACTCAGGGACTTTTTGGCCACTAAATGAGCCTCCCTGTTCCTATGACGACCTACGAAACGTAGATCACAATACCCCCCAAAACCAAGGCTTTGATCTCACGCAAAATTGCGCCAACCTTAGAATCATTGAAATCCCCTGCCAAACATTTATCCAGGATAACCTTCGCATCGCCCGTAATAAGAAGCGATGTGAGCTGTCTTGTGCTGCATTCCTTGAGACAATCCCGAAGAGCTAGGGTCTCCAAAACATGAGCATCTTTGATCCCTGCATATATGGTTGCCGCAGCTGCAATTGGAAACACCATCCCTGCATCAGACGAGCCGTCCCCAATCACATACGGTGTCGCACCTGCATCCCCCCTCCCAGTGGCACCGTCGAAAGAAGCATGAAATTGATGAACATCATGCAGAAACGCTTATCCTGTAGGAATAGTAGATGGAAGCGGGATGGCCGGGGAAAGAGATGCGGACAAGAAGGCAGACTCAATTTCATTCACCTGATGACGCCACTCCGCCGCCCTTGACTCCAAGCAGACCTGTTGATGATCAAAAAGAACCATACACCTGTTCTTCCAAATACGCCAAAACATGGCTATAACTTGCAGGTTAAAATAAGAATTATTCACCCTCCCGCCCTTATGAAAAAGCACCTCCCGAACCATACCTGCAAATGAACGCTTATCCCAACCTGCAAGCTGAGAACGAAAACCAACCAAGCTCCACAATTTTCGAGGAAATGAACAATTAAAAAACAGATGTTCTAACGATTCCACCTTCTGTCCACAAACCGGACAAATCGGGACTATATCAAGACCCCGGAGAGATAAGGCCTCCCTAGTTGGCAGTATCCGATTAAGACATTGCCAAACAAAAAATTTAAGCTTTGGTGGCAATTTCAAATTCCACAACCAAAACCACATATCATGATCCATTTGATTTACACGAGGCCTACCAACTCCAGAATGATAGCATTGATAAGCAAGATGATAAGCTGACCGTACCTGGAAAACACCCGATGGCTCAAAATGCCAAATCAACTTATCCGGGATTTGGATTTGTGGAAGAGGAATTGAAGAGATGAGCTTGACAGTATCAGCATTGAAAAACAGACGCAAGGCTGCCATATTCCAAGTGCAAGATCCCAGATCAATCAACGCCGAAACAAACGGGGAAGAAGCAGGGGCACCAGGTCTACGAGAAGGAATCGACGGCGGAGACGTGGGTAACCAAGCATCTTCAAACACCCGTACGGAAAAGCCATTACCTATCTGCCAACGCAACCCACGAGAAAGTAAATCTCGACCATGGAGGATACTTCGCCAGCCCCACGACGGATTTGAGCCACACAAGGCATCCATCAAATTATGATGACCAACAAAATATCGCCCTTTAAGAATACGAGCCAAAAGAGAGGCCGGCTCAGTGAGTAACTAATCTGGACCTTTAGATCTAAGTGGATCCAGAAAATTTAGATCTAAGTGAGTCAATTAAAGAAATTTTATTTTCCCTAGTTTTCTTAATCGGCTCTTATCTTCTTCGTTCTAACTCGGTTTTCAATTTTTTTTCCACAGATGGAACGAGTTCGTTGTGCTCTACAAAATGAGATCAATTTTCAATATATTTCGAGAAACTTTTTTTACCAACTACATACCATATGGTAACTTCTTCGTTTTTAGGTCGTTTTTGAAAACGTTTTCTCAGAAGAAACGAGTTCATCATGATCTATTGTATCTATAAATTTCTGGATGATAAAAATACTAGACCAAAAATTACCATACTTTACCACTGTGGTATGTGGGTGGTAACTTATGGTAACTTGTAGTAAAAATGATGAAAGTCGTAAATGATAGTTAGTGTACTCCTACTATTATATATTCACCCTTCTTACCATATTGGTATATTCATACCATCATTGTACGCTTTCTTACCATATGGTATTAAATAGAAGCATACCATATGGTAATGACTGATAAAAAAATATTCAATTTTTTTGTACTAAAAATATATCAAAGTGGATATCATTTTAAAGAGAACATTTAATCTAATTTATCTATGAAAAAAAAATTAAATTTCGACTTAAAACGAGAGAGAAATCGTCCGTTAAAGATTAAAAGGAAAAAGATAAAAGACTTTACATGAGATAGACGGATACTGATGTCATGCTGATGTGTACGGGTTACTCATGGTTAGTTGGTTACTGACCATAGGGTTACTGACATGATATGTTCCCTAGGAATTGAGTAGTTGGCAGAGAAGAGACGACATATATAAATATAATTCCCTACTCTCCACCCTAATTGATATTTATGTGCATGCATTGCGATGGGTCGGGTCAGGCAGGGTCGGGGCAGGTTGAGGTCGCTATTCAAGCCTGGTCTGACCTGTAGCGGGTCGGGTCAATACCCACCCCATTTATGAACGGGTCGGGTTTGATCTGCTCAAAATGGGCTCAGTCAGGTGCAATCTGTCGGGTCAAGCCAATATTGCTATTCCTATTGATAGGTTATAATTTGATCCATTTATTTTTTATATGTTTTTGGAGGGATGGGTATGGATATGGGGTTGGGGAGGCTAAAATCATATTCGCCCCATATATCTCAAACATTTTACGGGATTTATCCATATTTTGCTCCATCCTAGTTAACGCACGGGCAATGGGAGGCTAAAATCATATTCGCCCAAAAAACTGTTAGGGAAAAAAACAAACCACCCCATCCGAGCTGATAACCGTTCCCACTACATTCGTTCGTCTGCGTCTCTGGGCGGTTTTCTATTCAAGTGCTCTACTCCACACTGATTAGCGTTCAACCAGAGTCACGACAATCGGTAAAACAATTCAATGGGGTCGTCACTACCAGAGTTGAACTTGAAACGCGATCACCAGGATGAAATCCAGGTAGGTAACCGGATCGAATTTTTGTTTCCCTCTACGTTGTCGATGAATCGTTTACTCTTGCGAAGGAGAAAAAGTGATAATCGATCTCATATACTATCGCACATTTAGGGTTTCTCGTTGCCTTCAATTCAATTGTAACCATGGAAATTCTGCATCCTAATCGGATCTCTCATTTCTTCTCGATACGAATTGTTTTGGCCTAATCGATCTCAACTGTTGCATAATCATATGGGTCGTTTTGTTTCTCCAGGCTTTTAGAATTGTAATGATGGTTTAGGGTTAGTTTTGGTGAAAAGGGGATGAGAAGAATGGATTCTTGTTGCTGCAGGAAGATATTCTCATGGAGATCTTCTCTCGGCTGCCAGTGAAAACCCTATTCCAATTGCAGTCCGTCTGCAGGCGCTGGAACACCTGACCAACTACTTCTCGGCTTGCAACGCCTTCAAGACCCTGATGGTCTACGAGAATCAAGTGGGTGTGGGGAACAAAAAAATCATCCAGGCGTCTCCTAATAATGGCTTTGTGAAGAAAATCAGGCATCTGGAAGTCCCGATGCAAGTAATCTCCGGACGGGATACCCTTGCTGGGTAATCCTCAGGATAGTTGTGATCATGCACTTACCCTATGGAATCCATCAACTGGGCGATTTAGGAAAGTCGCGGTGCCGCCCTGCAATCAGCCCAGCAGAAAAGGGAAATTCTCTCGACATAGCTATGGGTTTGGGACAGGTAAAGGGGCTGCTGATCGTTCTGATTCGTCACTTCAGCCTCGGGCATTGCTCCTCCGACGAGCGTCCTGCACAAGTGATGCTCTACTCACTCCGGACTGATACTTGGAGGGAGCGGGTCGAGATTGTTCGATTTTTGGAGTGTTATGCGCGTCTCCTGTCGCAGCATTGGGGTTCGATCTCACGAACCAAGTTTTCGATCTGCTCTGCTCTGCTCCTGTCAGGCAACTCGTCATGTACAAGGGTTCCCTCCCTCGTACTGTGGTGGTGCCTTGCAACTTTGGGCTTCACTAGTGGGCTGGGCTAGATGCTGTAAAATCTTTGTTCACGACTGCAAGCCCTCATTCCTCGGCACAAGCCCCTTTAACTCCTACACGTATACTAGACAGAGTTGTTCGCATTTCCTCTTCCTTCAAGTAAAGAAGAGATGAGGGGGAAAAAGGTTACGTAGCAAAAAGCAAAGTGGATGGTAGTCTAGTCTTAGTCTAGTGGGTCAGGCAGCAAGAGAGAGCAAATGGCTCATCAGATAAGCTAATTTGACAGACAAGCACGAGAATGTCTGCCATGATAACGATCCATGAATGGGAAAGGGAAAGGGAAAGGGAAAGCAAAAATTGGTACCAACTGCCATCATCTAGTCTTATTCCAAACTTCCTAGCAAGCGAAACTGATCATCACCTATCAATTTGAGCTTGTGATTTTTGCAGCTTCCATGGCAGCGGATGATAACTTGAGTAGGGTTCTTGATCTGGAGGTGAATGCATGTCCCAATGGATCATACTCATCAACAACCATCAGTTGATCATACAGTTTCTTCAACCATAGAGCTTCAAGCAAGAACACAAAAGCTTGTTTGTGCCTGCACAATCACATGTTGGCTCTTTCCACTACTTCCCTTCACCGTTCCCCTACTTCCCGTCAAAGAACCAAAAGCATGGATTCTTCTTCTCAAGCCAACACAGTTGAACATTATCAATGGTCATAAAGAAAGAAAGCCTGATAACAAGACTTCTTAACTTTCTCTTTACCTGTTTCTGTTGTTGTTCAAGGGTTTTTTGTTTATCATGTGAATTTACTTCTACCCTTTTGTTTATCCAGATTTATTTCTGAGGAATTCTGCTGCCAGAGTTTTGACCGGTGTGACTAGATTGGGATTGGGTTGTCTCGCATCATGGGAATGTACATAATGTGACTTCTGAGTGAATGAATTTAGCACTATGTTTGGGAAGGGGTGTAAATGGAAGGGGGTGCAAGTTTGGAGGTGTTTACCCCCGTTTGGTTATTTTGTAACAGTAGGGGGGTGCAAAACGTGAGCGTAAATTCACATTATGTTTGGGAATGGGTGTAAATGGAAGGGGGTGCAAGTTTGGAGGGGTAAACACAAGTTCCAAGGTGTTTACCCCCGTTTGGTTATTTTGTAACAGTAGAGGGGTGCAAAACGTGAGCGTAAATTCACTGTTTCGGCTAACCCCCCAAATTGGGGTGCAAGGGAAGGAAGGAAGGGGGAGGAAGGGAATTATGAATTTTTAATTAGATTATAATTACATAATAATTAATATTATTATTTTTTCTTATATCTATATTAGTGTAGAAGTTGTTTGGGGTTGACCGTTTGACTCAGAGAGCAAGTTTGTCAATGTTCGCCTCGTCAAATCGATATCTCTTAGTTGACCCGAATTTGCATTGAAAATTAGAGATAAGAAGCATTTGTTGAAAAGATAGAGAGGAACAGTTTAGTTAACTCGATTTACTTTAATAAGTAGTTGAAACTTACAGATTCGAACGTGTTTGACTAAGTTTGACCATATTCAATTTAAAGTTAGGCACGAGAACCCCCTTAGGATGACTAGTTACGAGTTGGATTTCGAGTTTCGATGTTGCTCGACCAATGATTATTATTGTTGTTATAAATAATTATATTTGAGCATTATTATATAATAATTATTTTTATTTTTATTATTTTTATTATTATATATTGAATTTTCATGTTATTATTTTGTGATAATATTTTATAAATTGATAAATCTATTTTATAATAATATAATTACTTACTTTTTACTCTATTTGCACCCCCTACTTTTTCATCCAAACAACAATTTACCCCTCAACTTACACCCTCCACCAAGTTGCAAACTTGCACCCCCTTGTTGCCAAACATAGTGTAGAAGAATGAGAATGGTCCAATCCTTTTGTAACATAGTAGATAAGAGAGATCCACTCTCCATCTCCAAGCCCTTATCCTGACCTGCAGTTGTAGCCAGCTTATCTGGAAAATTTTCTGACTTGCTTTGAATTTCCTAACAGTTGGATCCAAAATTGATTGACAAGGGATGTTTACAACTACCAATGACCCTACTTCTAGGACATGGTCCCTAAAAGGCTGGAATTTCATATATACTGCTGCTAATTTAATGAGCATTTTTGAAGACCCATCCAGCAAAAGAAACTATTTGAAAGGTCCCCTTTTCTGTTCTGATGGGGAAAGAAGAACAGAACCAGCAGAGGAGGGCGTGATTCAATTCCGTAAAACCTGCAAACCTTGAGGGCAATTTTGAAGTTTAGAAAAAAATCATGTAATGGATGCTAAATATGGCTAAACAGGAAGCTTTGTTGCTTTTGTGAGAAGGAAGGAATATTAAATCATGGTGGAGTTGACAGAAAGATGAGATGGCAAATATGCATTTGGTATAGCATGCTGCTGCTTGGGAACAGGAAAAAGCTAAAGATGTATAATGGTAATGATGATTATGATGACTCAAAATGATGATGATGATGAAGGAGGAGGGACCAAACAAATTATGCCCATTAACCAACAACTTCATCATGTAAACCAGGAAATGCCTATAACTGTCCTATGTTGGACAAAATTCAGTTGATCATTCATAACATAAAAACTTCTCTTTCTTTGTGTACTATTCTCCATTCCTCCCCTGCTATGTGAACAGGTTGTTAAGATGGAATGGTCTGCCTATGCATAGCTCCACCACCAGCAACGCAACAGCACCAAGCAATCAATTGATTGATATTTCTGCAGGTGGGAAATAGTTGGGGAGACTGGTGACAAAGACAAGTAATGATTTCTTCCAACAAAAATTGGAGGCAGAAAACAAAGAGTGCATCAACTAAGGAAAAACCTTCAAAATATCATCTTTGTAAATTGCTTTACAGGGTAGGGTTAAATTCAGATCACTGCTGTCGAAAAAATTTGATGATCAGGGAACTTTTGGTTTTAGTTGTTAAAATTTGGGAACTTGGAAGTTCATGCATTGTATTGCACAGACAAGAACCTGACAGACAAGTGGAAATCTGGATTCAATCAGGATTTCCCCCCAAGTCAATTATTATTTCACATGGAAGAACAGGCTTGGAGAGAAGCATCAAGGATCAGAATTCTGATGCTGGCTTGGGATAATAGAGACAAAATCCAGATGGGTTCTGGCCCAAATAATGCCTGCAAATTGGAACCAAGTGAAGAGAACCATGCATTTTGCCAGATTGATAATTCCTGATTTTGATTGATTTCCATAATGTGACATAGATCATATCAACAATGCACATTAGGCTTCTCTTCTTCTTGTTCTTCTTTAACCAGCTATACCATACACGTAGGAACCAATTTCCCCTGATTGGATCCAAAAGAAACAAAGAACAAAAGTGGATTTGAGCTAAACTTCCCAAAATTACGATACTTATTATTGCTTCTTCACTCTCTATGCTTTTCACTAGAACTTCTGCTAATAGACAGAAACTTGCTGAACATCTTCTTAGGTCTAGATGGGATGGCACAGAAAGCTTTGAACTTTGAAGACCTACTACCAAGCCCACCTTCTGACTGCATGTCAACTCCATCCAAATCATCATCATCTTCAGCCAATTTCATCCTCAAAGTTGAGAGCTTTGATTTGGGAGATTTCAACCCAGAGATACTACTCCATTGATCCTCTGCTGCAACGCTGGCAGTGGTGCTTAATGGCGCCCCCGGTCTTGATGGGTTGATTCCATGTGAGGCTAAGAGTGCTTTAATGTTGCTAGGGAGCTCAGTGACTTTGCCACCACCAGCCATTGCTGATCTAGCTTGCTCAAAGAAGAGAACTTGTACCACTACTCTTAAAGGGAGCAACTCATTTTGAGCTGCATGCATACAGGCTTCCACGGATAGTTTCTTGCAGTTTAGGGTTCTACATAACCTTTTCCTTTCAGTCTTGTTCATGTCTGGATGTGCCTGCAATGTCGGACAAAGCCATTTTTTCAGTTAGTCCACACTTGAAAGAAACTCAAAGATTTGTTTACTGTTGAGACTTGTCAAACGGGACCAGAACTTTCCCTTGATAGTACCATATACCATACTTCGACGCATCTACGGGTGAGTTAAAAAACCCAATTTCCTGATTTGTCAATTTTTTTGTACCAAGACAGTTCAAATCATCGGCCCTACAGCCCCAACCCCAACTGCCCATAGGCCATACATTGTTTTAATAAAAGGTCAAAGAGAGTTGGTTAACTAACTGACAATCAACTCTAATGAGAAAGAGAGTTTCGTTTTTCTTTTTTCTTTTTTTTTGTTGTTTTTACCTTGAGATAAATGTCAACGGCTCTGTAGAGATCGTCATGGTCAGGCCTGGAGAACTCTGGTATGGTCTCAGCAATTACCAAGAACTTCGACAGTGGCAAATTCACATCCCTGGCAATTACTTGAAGGTAACTATCCACAAGCTTAGCCACTTTTAACTTGGAGCTATGAGAAGCTGAGGACGACCTTCTGCTCTCTTGAAAATCCAAGTCAATGTTCTCAGCTGACCTCGACCTTTGCCTTCTCTCAAACCCTAGCTTGGATCTTGGAGGGCTAGTTGGAGGGCTTTGCCCTTGCAACATGAACTGCTCCAATATGATCATAACCAACTCCACATCATATATTAACCCACCACTCGAATACGAAACCGAAGGTATCAACAAATCATTCACATTAGCTTCCTCCAGTTGAAGCCCAACCCTTCTGGCCAAGTCCACCTTGGATGTTGAACTTGCATTCAGAATGTTGGCTGCCTTCAATAGCTTGAGCAAAAAGCTACAAGTCACCGCGCCCTTGTCAGCCGGTAACAAGTTGATGATGGACTCCAAAATCAGCCTATGCTTTGAGTTACTATTATTCGCCTCATCTCCTGAATCAGAATCAGAATCACTACCAGGACCAATAGGTACTGCTGGTACTTGTATCTTAGGCAACCATCTAGCTGCATATATCTTCAAAGCCTCGCCTACTAAGCTTGACTTCACTCTCCCACCAGATTTCACAGCAATCATGGTCCTCCAATACAAGTCCAGCCCTAATTCAGCCATGTCCTCAGCCCACCACCCTTTATTCACTGGCTTCAAACTATGCCTCTGGCTGTCTCCACCACCACCACCACCATTACATGAAACATCATCCCTTCCTCCTCTTCTCGAATAGCTATGCGACAGACTGACTTTAGAAGGGCTGCAGAGAACTTTGGAGGCGATTGCTTCGATGCATCTGGCTGTGATTCCGAGCTCCTCTGACCATAAAGGGAAGGCCTTTGTGGTCTGGAGCGTCACAATTGAGTCCTTCCAACCTTGGAGAATGCAGGAGTTGAGGAAGACTTCAAGCTTGTAGATTAAGTTGCCTTTCTCCACTTCTTCCGTCATCTGGAGGTACTCAGCCGCACACCTAGCAGCCACTATGTTGTGGGCACTCAGTGTGATTGTGATCCCATAGCAGAATTTTGCACAGAGCTCAAATGCGTCGAGCCCGCCTGGGAAATCTGGGAGCTGGAGGGTTTGGTGCTGGGAGGAGGTTTCTGGCGTCTCTGAACATAGCTTCTGGAGTCTTATGCACTTGGAAAGCAGAGGAAACTGTGGGGAAAAAGAAGCAAACTATTCGTCAGCCAAAGAAAAATTAGTACCCTTCTGCTGCCCCCATGGAATTGTTCAGTAGTACCTTGTGAAGCAGGTATCTACATCCTTTAACTTGGATGATTAGATCACTGGAAACTTCCGAAGAGACAGACCTGTATCACAGAAGAAACTCTGGGATGAATCCTCCATGAAAGGAAGTTCATGAGAAGCAATAGAAGGAAGGGAAAAAAAAAATCTCTTTGAATTACCTGACAGCTTCAGAAGAATAGAAGGTGTCTGGCCTGGAACCAAGCTTCATAAACTTCATGGCTAGTTTAGTTCTACCCTTAGCTTCTGTATTTTTTCTTCTTCTTCTTCTTCCTTTGTGCCCTGCTATGGATGCTCTCTGTTTTGGCTCAGAAACTTCTCAAAATCATTGAAAGTTTCCAGAACCGAAGGAAACAAGAGCTGAAGATTTTCCCCTTTTATTATTTTCAGTAAGCCATTCACTAAGCTGCCCAATTTAGGAGAAAGATGAAAAAAACAGGTAGTAACAGGTAACTTGGAGCTACCAAGTGATGCGCCGCCGGACTGCCACTCGCTCCACCGCCGCCGCCGCTTCTCCGAAACTCCCTCGAAGATACTTAATGGGCGGGTGGAATTATATTTGCAAGTTGGAGAATCTTCTAATTAGCTTGGCTTTACAAGAGACAAAACCGCTCCCACTCTTGGACGTCCGGACGGCCATTCTAAATCATTCCGGCGCCGTGAATCGGACGTCGGGAGAAGAGAATAGCTCTTTGATCGCCGGAGAGAAAAAGTACAACAAAAGAGCTGTAAGTTGCTCTTGCTCTGCGGAGGAGAGGAGAGAAAAGAAGGGAAGTGGAGGGACAGAGAGAGAGAGAGAGCAAGTTCATAAGTTTGTGGGGAGCATGACTGGAGGAGAGAGATAAAGGTGGGGGAAAAAAAAAGAGAGGAAGACATAAAAGAAAAGTTAGTGAAGAAAAGGAATGATGATGAGCTCTATTTAGCGGGCTTCCTAATTGCTCTTTATCAGCCACCTTAGGGATAAATGTAAGTTCCATAAAAATCGAACTAGGGGTAAAAATTTGTAAGTTCAATTTAGAACTTAAATATCTTCTTACGAGAAAAAAAAATGTCATTACCAAGATTTGAATTTGAGTTCTTTAGATTGATCGTCAATATACCTAACCAATTAGACTACAACAGTGTTTATGTATTTCTTGAATTAAAGAGAGAAAATACTGAAATATCTCAAAATCATAGGACTATCCACCGCAACAATCAATCATCGAATTAATTAATAACTGTAATTATTTACAAAGTAAATCATCATGATATACCTAGCTTTATGAATCAACTAAGTGAGTTCCTCTAATCACACAATTCTTCACCAAGAATCAAATAGTACATTTTGAGTTTATGTATGTCTTACAACTTTTACATTTATTAGGTTACATGGTTTTGTAGTTTGTAGGAATACAAGGATTGTTTACAAAAGTGCTATACAAAATTATATTTCAAAACATAAAATTTGACATTTGTGATCTATGGTTTTGTAACAAGACATTTTCAATGCTATAAGTGAATGACCAAAAATCATTGGCTAACAATTTCCCTAATGGTTGAGAATTATGAGCATAGAATTGAAAGACTATATACCATTGACAAATGAGCCACTAGACCATAGATTAATCACGTAACTAAATTCTATATCATAATTCTCTAAATCCTAATATAGTGCATATGGTATGTTGTATACATCTTGGCGAATCAGAATCATTGCTTATGTTCTTAGTATGTGTGATATTAGGGTTTAAGTTCTATTGGTTTAGGGTATATGATTTAATTATTGGAAACTTAATCTCACTTTTCAAATTTCCTGCAATGAGAGCGAAATTAGGAAGGACATTTTTGTCTTCACAATTATCTGTATTTTTTTTATTTACAGAAAAAGATAATATACATATTGAGATTTGAATCATGGTCACTTCAAACAAAGTAAAGGTTTAAAATCAATCAGACTATGTAGATTTGTTGTATTTTTTTAAATTAAAAATATATAAGAAGCTAAAATATGAAATTATAAAACTTTTCAACAGTTAGCTAGCCCAATAATATTCCGTAAGTACTTATTTGGTGTTTTGATACTTCAATTTTGATATTTTTATTTTAATTATAGCTTAATACTTAATTTAAAATTTTATTTATATTATAAATAGACGATAACCATAAATTTGCAACCAAAATATTGTTGGTTCGAATATTTCATATCGAATTATAGTATTGAATATGTAGAAGCGATATAGAATTCTTAAATTATCATTATTTTTCAGAACTATAGTGAAACATTCATATCTTTGTGCAAACTATATGAGACTGGTTCTCTGGACATTTTTGTCCGGTTAAATACTAAGTTTGAAACTCACCTGCCAAACTGGTTTGGATTGAGATTTTTATCGAGTATCAGGGAACCATGTGATTATAAATTAGACTTGATCAAAACGGGCCAAAACTTGAAATTCAGCCTGTTTGACCGACCCATGCCAAATTCTAATTATTCTTTATTTTAAAATTTCTATTTGAAAATAAAAAATAGTGAAAGAAAAGAGATGACTGCAATTCGCCATTTGAACATCACTTATTCGGGAATAAAATCATAGAAATTCAAAAGGAACTGAAAATGTTTAGGATCGTTTTAATGTTTAAAATAACCAAATAGATTTTTTTGTTTAGTTTTTTACTAATAGATACCAAACGTTTTCCTGTAAAATACACTATAATTTGATCATTATGATATCAAATAATTATATAATGTATATTTGAAATTATAAAAATTAGACTAATTGGGTTGGTTGAGGTTGAACCATTGAATAACTTTAAAATACATTATAAAGTTATAAAATAATAGCATAATATATATTATGCAAGAGAAAATAGCTTGTTTTAGAATGATAAACCAATGATGTTCATTTGTTTTACTTGATGGTCAAATCTCGTGTAGGCCAGACTCATTCAACTCTTTTATTTTATGGTTAGCCCATTAGATACCATGCATTAGTTTATTGTTAAATTTTTTATTTTTAGCAATAAAAAGGAGTATTTTTTTTGTCTTTTCATATATATTTTATCACCACGGAGAAATAAAATAGCTTACAGAAAAATATTGACACTCCTGAACCCGTTTAAATCCGCATGTGTACGGTAAGTTGGTCCGTTCCATAGAGGAAAGAGAAAAAAATTGACACTCCCTATTCTACTCTTCCTACAAACGTTTTTAGGATGGCAAACCAATGATGTTCATTTGTTTTACTTGATGGCCAAATCTCGTGTAGCGTGTAGGTCAGGCCCATTCAACTCTTTTATTTTATGGTTAGCGGTTAGCCCATTAGATACCATGCATTAGTTTATTATTAAATTTTTTATTTTTAGAAATAAAAAAGAGTATTGTTTTTGTCTTTTCATATATATTTTATCACCACAGAGAAATAAAAGAGCTCAAAGAAAAAATTTGACACTCATGGACCCGTTTAAATCTGCATGTGTACGGTAAGTTGGCCCGTTACACAGAGGAAAGAGAGAAAAAATTGACACTCCCTATTCTACCCTTCCTACAAACGCTCCTGGAGCAGGGAATTTGAAATGGGGGAAGAGTTTTTTCCTCCCTACTATTATATGTTTTTAATTTAAAAAGATACAACAAATGTACTTAGTGTGATTGGTTATGATCCTTGTTTTTCTTTAAAATGGTCATGGTTCAAATCCTAGTATGTGTTTTTTAAATGAATAAAAAAAGTAATTGTGAAAACCAAAATGTCCTTCCTACTTTCATTCTCGTTGCAAGAAATTTGAAATGGGGCTCCCGTTTTTCCCTTCGGTGTATTATAATACTAGCTTATAATCCGGCCCGTTGGCCGAAATGTTCATATTTTAATATTTATATTTTTATGTTATGTTTAAGTCTATTAATTTGTATAAGTTTATTGAAAATCATTCAATCGAGATTCTACATAAAGAATGAATATATAGGTCGAATATTCAGGAAAATACCCTCCTCGTTTAAGAATATAAAAATGTATCATTAATCCCATTTTCATAATGATAATTGAGCCCCCATTAAAATGATATTGGTTAATAGATTGTCCAGAAATATATAATATAAAAGCTCATTGGAATTCTCACACGATCCATAGATAGTTTAAAACTGAAATGAAGCCTCCCAATCCCACATAAATGGTTCAAAGCTCTCCTCTATGAATAACATGCCACTAATAAAAAGGAAATGAATTTATAAAAAAAAAGAAATGAAGAGTTCTTGATTCAAGTAAATCATATGCTAACAACTCAACTAAAAGGAAACCATCAAAACTTGAAAGCAAATGACAAAATTAGAATTACATCCAATATACTAATAGACTCGATCAAAGTAATGAGGCACAAAATTACACACTCCTTATCTATAGGTTCCAGTAGTTTGAATAGTGAATCGACATTAACTTTAGTAAATCAATCAATGATTCCTCGTTTTAACATAAACATAGGTTGTGGTAGTTGCAACAACCATAACACCTAAAGATCCAATAGTTTCCACTCTCCGTTGTACAAACAACTTTTGATCCCCTCCATCTTCAATCTCAAGACGTATATGTTTTAAACCAAAATTCAATTTCTAATCCTCCTTCTGCAACTCCATTTATGCTACTTTGATGGACCTTCTCTCCATTTATGTTTTAAACCAAAATTCAATTTCTAATCCTCCTTCTAATCCACTCCTTCTAAGTTGGAATTCCCATTCCCCAAGCTCATTTTTGGTTCATTTGATCCCACATAACCATGATATTATACCTCTAACTAAAATAAATCAAAGCATTTTAAGAAAAGAAACCAAACCATGAACTTTACCTGCTACCAAATCCAAACACAATTTCTTCCCCTCACCACTTCCCTTAATCCCTTCCCAACCCCAGTATCAACTTTTACTCCAAGTACACGCCCCCAACTCCCAGTGTGTTGCGTGAAAGCTTAAATTTAGCAATAATTATGCTTGCAATTAGATTAATGGACACCAGCAAACGCCAAAATTCCACCAGACGATGAGTTGTCTTCACTTTGAGTTTTGTAATAAAATTGCTGGCCCCATATGTTTATCAGTTTGGAGGCCATATGATGAACAATACCGAATCAGTTGCAGCGAAGTTACCGGTCACAGTAATGACAATGTGAAACACGTGTTAACAAATCTCAATCCAAACCAGTTCATGATATTGATGACTGTGGTGGATGTCGCTAAAAGACATTGATCTCCCGCCAAGTTGCTGTAACACGAAAATTGGAGACAGACAACATTTCATGTCCAACAAATAAAAAGGACCCAAGCCAAAACTATGTATGTGTTTTCCTAATCAGTATGTCCATAAGATACCGAGACATGTTCAATGTCTTGACTCCATCAATGGTATATACCACTATTTTTTTTGGGGGGTCTAAAATGAACATATTTCTGCACATCGTTGGGGGCAATCTTGATATTTAGAGGTTGGAGAAAGGGCTCAAAGGGATGTGTGGAAGAAATTTTGATGCCAACCAAACGTTAGAAAGGGAAAGTGTGGTGATCCACAAAATGCCCTCCCAGTTGGTCCTGCTTCTGCTTGGTGCTTGCTTTCTTTTCTGTGGTGTCCCCTAACGGGGTGGCCTTAATCCGACAACTACTCTTTTTCGTGGGACCCTTTTGTAATTTTCCCCCTCCCTCCTTTAATTTGGGGATCCCTGGGGGTTGGTTTATGTGTATTCCACGATCGCACAATATCGCTGATTAAACAAACAAAACATGTATCCATGGTTTGATTAATTTCAGGATTGAAACTTGGAATATTAAAGATCTGATTCGTTTTGAATCGTCCAAGATAAAGATGCATATTGATGCCACGATATTCCTCTTTTTTTTTAATTTTTATTTTACGCTTTTTCCCTATCACTTTTATGGGTTATATTTTTCTTTTTTATGAATACTTTTA